GCCTTAGACAATAGTAGCACTGGCCGACATGCTAACACCTTCTGAGAGATTCTCAGTTAAAGCCACCCAACTTGTCAACACCTAAATTTCTGATTTATAGAAACTGAGATTTTAAAAAAAGACTAACTCACTAAGTTATTCTGCTGTGGGTCAGTACCAACTCGATGGCACCTAACAACAACAACAAGTTAGGGGGAACTTTGTTGTGCGGCAACAGCCAACTAACATACGGCCCAGACACTATGTACACTTTAGAATGAGTTTTTCAAGATTCATGAGTCGTTGTTTTTAATTAGGATTGCATTGGATTATTTGGTGGGTAGTTTGGCAAGATAAAAATTAAACCTTTCCATTGACTAAGACGGTACACCTTTTCATATAAATACTACTGGCTGCCAGAAGGAACAAATATATCTTAGAAGAAATACAACCAGGGTGCTCCTTGGAAGTGAGCTCCTTGGACTTTGGACACATCATCAGGAATGATCAACTGCTAGAAAAGGACCTCATGCTGAGTGAAGGTCAGCAAAAGTGAGAGACCCTCAGCGAGATGGGCTGACCCAGCAGGCACTGCAGCAGACCTGACCAATGTAACACTGTGAAGATGGTGCGGGACTGAGGTTGTCCTACAGGAGGGTGACGCGATGGCAGTCAGCAGCATATTGTACAGTACAGTTTTACAGGAGTTCTGGTGTGGCTTAGAGGATGAGCACTGGATTACCAACTACAAGGTCGGTGGTTCAAATCCACCAGCCGCTCCTTGGAAACTGGACACAGGGTCACTATGGGTCAGAACCAACCTGTAGGCACTTAACAGCTTACAGTGTTCGTCATAGAGGTATTAAACAAGAATCAATTCATTTCTAAGGACTCCTTAGTGTCTATTACCAATAGGATCTTTTGTCCACGATTTTTGGCTGGGCATTTTTCGTGTATTGAACAAAACTATTCATTTTTAAAAGCTGATTTTATATGCTCTCTTTCTCTTTCATTAGTCCTGGTGTGGCATTGTAGGATAAGCACTGGAATGTTAACTGCAAGGTTGGTGGTTCAAAGCCACCAGCTACTCCTTGGAAACACTATAGAGTTGCTATGAGTCAGAACTGACTCAATGGCATTGAGCACCAACATGGTCTTTATTACTGGCTTCCATGGATTTTCTAGGGAGACAATCTATCAGCTTCAGTTGTTTAGGTGGTGTCGAGTCAGTTCTTACTCACAGAGACTCTGTATAGGGTTTCTGCGGCTATAAATCTTGACCCTAGACCAGGTCAGTATGAGTTGGGCTCTCACTATGACGCGATGGCACTTAAGAAGAAATCTTTACTGGAGCAGAAAGCCACATCTTTCTCCCACGGGAGTAAAGAACCTCAATTTTCTCCTGCGGAGTAACTGGTGCTTACCCTCCAGCGTGACCAGCGCCCTCCATTAGCTTTAATGTTGTTGTTGTTTAGTGCCCAACTCATAGCAACCCTGTATAAGGTTTCCAAGGAGTGACTGGTGGGTTTGAACCGCCAACCTTGCGGTCCAGTGCTTACCCTATAGTGCCACACCAGAACTCCATATTAGCTTCAATGTTGTTGTTGTTAGGTGCCATACAGACCCTGTAGAGGGTTTCCAATGAGTAGCTGGTGAGCTTGAACCACCGACCTTGCAGTTCAAACGACTTTGCAGTCTGACGCATTAGACCACAGAGCCACACCGGGGCTCCATTTAATCTTTTACTTCCAGATATTTATACCTCTTTCTTTCTCTTGGCTTATGGTAAGGCTCGGCTCTCCAGTGTAGTGTTTGGTGGCATCTGTTATGCAGCCTTGTGGTTGCTGTTGTGAAGTGCCGTCGAGTCGATTCCAACCCACAGCGACCCTGTATACGGTTTGTGAGGAGCGACTGGTGAGCTTGAACTGCTGACCTTGTGGTTCAAACTGACCTTGTAGTCCAGTGCATTAACTACAGCGCCACACTAGGAGTCCTATGCAGCGCCAACGCATTCTGAATATGCTAAGACCCACAGCTTTATAAGGTTGCAGAAATGTCCATTTCTTACTTTATCAGGAATGCATAGGTTCCTACTTTTGTTATGATTTTAAGGAAAGATGATGAATCTAATAAAAATTATTTTCAACATCTTTTGAATTATCACATGGTTTCACTCCTTTTGTTAATGTAGAGAATTTTATTAATAAACTTGCAAATTCCTTTGTCTTTGATACAACTTTGTCATTCATTTAATCTATTGAGGGGTTACAGGTGCCAGGTAGTGTTTTACACACCTGGGATAGAGACAAGGTCCCTCCTGTCCCGGGGTGGGGGGTGTGTGTGTGGGCGGGGGTAGGGGTGCATCTTCATGGTCATGAAGTTTATAGTCCTTTAGATGCTGCTTGATTTGGTCTGTTTACCACTATTCAGGATGTTTTCCAACTATGCCAACAGTTAGATTGACAGATTGTTATCTACTGTTTCCCTCTGCTCCTCTTTCCCAGGGTTGTGGATCAGGATTGTCAGTTCTGAAGAGAAAGTTACTGTGAGCAGCTTCATCATTGGTCAAAACAACTGTCAACAAAGCACTTGGGACCCACAGTGCCCTATAGGACAGAAGAGCTGCCCCATGGGTTTCCAAGGCTGTGGATCTTTATGGAAGCAGCCAGCCTCGTCGTTCTCCTGTGGAGTGCCAGGTAGGTTTGAACCGCAGACCTTTAGGTTAGCAGCCGAGCGCACTAATCACAGCGCTACCAGAGTCCCTTCAGCAGCAGCTGGGATGATTCATTTCATAACTATCTGGGAACACCCACTCGGTAATCCATCTGGGCTCCCGTCTCATTGTAGGGCTGCTCTTAGGCTACTTTAGGACTTCTTACGTTGTTACTGTACCTCTTCAGGGTTGTGTTATTGTTGCTTTAAGTCAATTTGGTAATACACGTCCAGATGTGAATTGTTTAGGGTCTTTGCTGTATTCCCAATGTTCCTTTCCCACTTAGTGTGCTAGGCACGCTGCAGGTCTTCTCAATCTGGGAACTTGAGTCTTTAAATGTTTCTCGGACAATTTCTGCTCCAGTTTTTTGCTGTGTGATATTGGTTCCCCTGAATAAACCCTGTTTCTTTTCTTCATTCTCCCACTCCCATTTCTTTAACTTTTCATTGTACTTCCCAAGAGGCTGCAAGTTCATATCAACCCCTCAACTGAACATCTCCATTCTGTTCTCTGATTTTTATTTATGAAACCCTTTACAATTATTTTTCTGAACGCCCTTTTCACAAAAATGGAATCGCTTGTTTCCGTACAGAATGTCTTCTTTTCCTTCTCTGAGGACACTAATTCTGATCTTCTGGATGCTTTCTTCTGTTCCCCAAGCTCAAGAAGCTTGTCTCTGTATCCACACTAAATAGGAGGGGATAACATGCCTTGTGGGAGAAGACAGCACAGCCTTGTGTATGATCGTTCATCACAGGGGTACACTTACTGATGAACAATTCCCAGCATCCTCAGTGCTGTCTGCCCAACCAGTCATGTTCCTTGAGAGCTATGAGGGAACTTCAAAAAGTTGGCGGGAAATTTTCATTACCTGTTAATTTCATCTTCCAGGAACTTTTTGAAGCCCCCTTGCATGTGCCCACTGTAAGGTGCGCCTGACCCAAGCCATGGTATTTTCAATCACCTCATATGCATGTGAAAGCTGGACAGTGAATAAGGAAGACCATAGAAGAATTGATGCTTTTGAGTTCTGGTGTTGGAGGAGAATA